GCGTGCTGTCTGGGTCCTTTCCTGGCGCCCCCAGCCCTCCCATGGCGGCCCCGGGTCCCAGTGTCTTCCTGCTTATGGTCAACGGGCAGGTGGAGAGCGCCCAGGTGAGCGGCCTTGGAACCCGCTGGGGACCGTCCCCCAGACTCCCGCGGAGGCCAGTCCCGCCACCTCGGGAGGCTTGTCATTCCTCCGAGCCTCTCTCCTCCGTTAGACGGGGCAGGGGAACCAGCATTTGAGAGGCTTGGCCCGAGGTTGCTGAGAATCCTCAGCCCTGGTGTGCGGCTATGGGAACAGACCTTGAGAGGCTGAGCTAGTACCGAGGTCACATCAGCCAAGCCTGAGGCCCCTGGCCCGGGTCGTGTCCCCTCTGTTGAGTCACTGGCAGGATCCTAACGCGGGTGTAACGGGAGGAGCCGAGGCTCGACCGGCACCCAGGGCCCGGCGATTACGTCTGTGGCGTGAGTGTCCACCCGCGGCGTAGCCCCAGCCTCCCTCCCTGCCCAGGCACACCCACAGGGACTGAGTCCGGGGCGTCTGCGCCGCTCCCGGTGCGTAGTGAGTACTCTGCACTCTGAATCCTCAGATCTTTGAACTTGGGTTAGAATGGAGATGGCTTGTTTAATCTGGTCCAGCAATGATGGTCCAGGGAGTGTGTCCATCAGACGGAAGGGAACCCTACTGTCCATCCCGCATGCTTTGTAAGAACTGTTTGTTACGTGTGTATATAATTTTTTTTAAGTTCACCAAGTATTCACTGTGTGACAAACTCAGCACTGCTCATTCAAAACTCATGCCCCTGTGAAGTACATATTACTAGCACCCCCATTTTACAGATGGGAAAACTTGCCCAAAAGAAGTGGCAAAGCTGGGATTTGGACCAACGTCTGTCTGATGCCAAAGCTCTGCTGCTGGGCACTTTCTGATTGTTGGACTTGGCATTTATTATCATACTGCTGTGAGGATTAACTGAGATGGTTTAAGTAAAGCCAGGGCCTCTTGGTAGGTGTCTGCTGCCTTCCTGTTTTCTTACTCCCACCCTGTCCACCTTTCCCTTGGCCTGGTGCCCAAAACTGTCTTGCCCTCTTCTGTTCTGCCCCATATGGGGCCCTCAGCTGGGTTGAGTCACCTGTGTCTGTGCTCTCAGCACCCACCCCATCCTAACTCTGCCTCCCCATCTGCCCTGGGCCCCTCCCTGTCTTCAGTCCTCCACCTCCAGCCATGCTTCTGCCCCTGTGTCCTGTTAGCACTCTGCGTTCTCAGACCTTTCACTTCAGCACCATTCCTACAGACTTTCTCTGTGCCCACCTGTGAGCCAGGCACTGGGGTCACAAAAAGGCATCAGACTTGTTCACTGCTCACAGTCAAATGGGGTTGGCAGAAATACGCACAGGCAATCAATGCTTTGATAGAGGGAAACACCACAACCTGCAGGAGCCAGGAGATAGCCCTTAAACAGCCTGGAGAGAAGGGCAGGCTCCCTGATGGGTAAGTTTTGAAGGATGTGCAGGAGTCTGCCAAGTGAAGGAACAGGAAGGGTATGCCAGAAGAGGCAGGGCTTGAGCAAAGCCCAGGGGCATAGCAGCCTAGGACTGTCCCTTGGACCCCCACATTTCAGGCGCAGCTCCTCTGCTGAATTCTTTGGCCTCATCCCCAGTTGTCTCAGTAGGTACCCCAGATGCCTCATATTCAGAATTCCTGTTGTCTGTTCCTGCCTGTTCAGCATGGAGGCCTCTGTATGAGGCCCTGTAAACAGAACCATGTGCTTATTTCCAGTTTCCTGAGTACGATGACCTCTACTGCAAGTACTGCTTTGTGTATGGCCAGGACTGGGCTCCCACAGCGGTAAGCTGGACTCCTGGGCCCTTTTTACTCCCAGCCTTCTTGACTCTTAGGGCTTCGGAAGGTGTCTGTCACACCCCTTCCCCACCAGCTTGGAACCAGCTGTGTTCAGGAGGGACCCAAACCTGACTGTGTTCCTGGTTAAGATGGAGTAGAGAACAAAGCCACCCCTGTGTTCCCCGGGCAAGGCTGTGCTCACTCACGTACCTTATCTCGGGAACTTGTCCATGGCAGCAAAGCAGAATTGTGGGCAGTGCAGGCAGGCCAGCCCCAAGAACCAGCCTGGGAGCAGCTGAGCTGTAGGCACTCTGGGCCAGTCCCCTCATTTGGCTTCTTGTCCTGTGGGGAGGGCTCTGGAGAGTCAGAGGGCAGAGCAGAAGCTCTCCTTCCCAGACTGCCCAGGGAACAGTGTCTCTACCAGCAGGGGACTTTGATGATGACTTTAGCCTGCAACCCATTTCCTGTTTACAGAGCACTTGGTTTGATCTTCAACATGAGGAAATGGAGCCCAGGTTACTCAGCCTCTCTGAGCCTGTTTCCTCTTCTGTACAAGTGAGATGACAATATTTATTTCCATTCACCTATGGACTGAATAACTGTTGATAGTCCTCTTGGGTGATGGGGAAACAGTGGTGAACAAAGCCAGACTCAACTCCCCATCTTCTTGGCCTGCACATCCTTGGGGGATGAGACAGACTTTAAACATTAGGATTATAGCATGTTAGCTAGTAATAAATTGAGGTGAAAACACAGTCAGAAAGGGATGTATGGAGGATAAGTGAAGCTGTATATTCTTGCTAAGGTTCCCGGGAAGAGCTCACTGAGAGGTAACTTTGAGTAAAAATCTGAAGGAAGTAAGGGAACAAGCCATGTGGAAGAAGGTGCAAAGAACTTTCTAGGCAGAAGGAGCAGAGAAGGCACAGGCCCTTAGGCAGGAATGAGCCTGGCATGTTTGAGGAACAGCAAGGAGACCAGTGTGGCCAGTGAACAGAATGAGCATGGGGGAGAGTGGTTAGGGATGAAGCAGGGGCTCGTGCAGGGGCCACGGGAGGTGAGAGTAAGGACCACGGCCTTCATGGAAGTGGAGCTCCCATTCAGTGAGAAGACTGTGGATAGAGCAGATATGGGCCTGGGCTGGCAGGGTTCCCACAAATGTCCAAGAGGACCTGCAGAGCGAGCAGTGAAGACAGCGACGCTGGTCTGGAGTTCAGAGATGAGGACCAGGCTGGAGGCACAAGTTGGGGAATCAACACACAGACTGCACTGGAAGCTTTTGAAACCAGTGAGGTCACAAGTGAGGCTGAGGGGTGTCCAAGGACTGAGCCTAGGGACGCTCCCACACAGAGGAGGAAGTGGCAAGCACATCGGAGCAGGGGCCATGGAGAGGAGGGAAGACCCAGAGATGCATGGCATCCCAGAAACCAAGCAGAGGAAGCGTGGCAAGTGATCAGCTGTGTCCCATGCTGCTGGTGGGTCAAGTGCGATGAGGACAGAGAAATGACCCCAATAGGCAAAGCTGGGGTCACTAGGGTTACTTGACAGGAACACCCTGGTAGAGCAGGGGCCAGGAGTCAGATTGCAATGGGTCCATGAAAGCAAAGCAGAGGAGGAAGGGGAGCCAGTGAGCAGTGACAACTCTTTCAAGGTGCTTTGCTTGGAAGGGGAGCAAAGAGTGGGTTGATGGGTGGAGAAGCAGTAAGAGTCAAGAGAGTATCTTTTGTGATGCAGGAAACAACGCACATTTGCTGAGGGGAGTGAGGTGGGTAAAACCAGTGACGTTGGGGACAGCAGCGTCCTGCTGTGGAGGCTCCCCCGGTTAGTCAGGAGGGCATGGGAACTCGTGCACAGTGGGAGATTGGCTCTTGAGGTTGTCAAGCTCAAATGAGATAAAACACTGGAGTACCTGGGAGCTCCATTATCTCTTAGTTCCCTTGGTGTGGAAGTTAGGGTCTTGGCAGAACATAGTGAAGAGAACAGCAATCCAACTGCCTGCTCAGATTAGGGGAGGGGCGTGGCAGCNCTGGCTGTGAATCCTCCGTCTCTCCTGCACAGGTGTCTGATGGTACCCCCTTACTTAAGGGCTGGCATCTGGCTGCTGCTCGGTGTGATGACCGGGCTCCCTGCTTTGAGCCTGGCCTCCCTGAGGTCTTTTATGCCAGTGCATCCGTTCATCCTGGATTTGGGATAAGGTCCCTAACGTCACTTTTAACACGTTGGCCAGGAGGTCCTCTTGGACTTGGCCCAAAACCAGCAAGAGGGCACAGTGAGGGTTTTCCGTCTGTGAAGTCCTGGGTGTGAATCCTGCCTCAGTTACTCGTGTGCTGCTGTGACTGTTCCAGTCGTCCCCACCCTCTGAATCTGCTTCCTCTGTCATGTAGTGGAGGTGCATCCAATTATGCATTTATCCAACAAGCTATCACCAGGGCTCTCTGTGTGCCAGGTAGCCAGAACAGATCGGCACTGCCCCTGAGCTCCTGGCATCTCCTGGCTGTCTAGGGCAGCAGAGAGGCAAGCATTAGTCCGAGTCACAGCAGTAATAAATGTGCAAATAAAACCACAGTGAATGCTAAGAGGAACCCGATCGATGTGTTAATGTGACCTACTCAGGTGACCAGAGAGACACTCTCATTTGAACAGTGACATGAGAGCCGTGGGTTCTGGCTGATTGGGATGCCAGGTGCTGCCCCTAGTGGGCCTCAGTTTCCCCGCTTCATACTGAGGCTTGCATTGAAGGTTTGAGGTTCCTCTCAAATCTGTTTAATCAACTTTTGAGAGAGCCAGCGTCTCTAAAGCCACAAGGCAGCAATCCCTCGACCTCACACAGGGAGCTCCTCGGCCCCCCTGGGGATTCTGACCCTCCTCTAAACTCGCGGCCTTTCCGCTTTAACCCGACCCGCCCGCACCCCGTACGCTCCGGCCGCCGTCCTCCCAGCAGCGCCACAGCGACATCGTGTGGCTTGAGGGCTTAACTGTACCACTTGGTTTCAGGGCCGCGCCTCCGTTGGCCACGTGGGCACACACTCCCTGCGGGTGTGACTGGACAGGGCGGGAGAGCTGGGGCTACGCCGCGGTTAGACACTCCCACCACAGACTCTCCCCGCATCCCGGGGAAGAGGGTGGGATCGCGGAGCCCTGCCCCAAAGTCCCGCCCCTCCGACAGCCGCCGCTAGACTGCGCACGCGCGCCGCCGCCGCCGCCGAGCACTTGCCTTCGCGAAGGCCCAGTTTCCAATAAATGTGTCCTGCACGCCATGCCGTCTGTTTCCAGGACAACCCCGGTGCCTCTTAGCAACCGCGCGTGCTGTCTGGGTCCTTTCCTGGCGCCCCCAGCCCTCCCATGGCGGCCCCGGGTCCCAGTGTCTTCCTGCTTATGGTCAACGGGCAGGTGGAGAGCGCCCAGGTGAGCGGCCTTGGAACCCGCTGGGGACCGTCCCCCAGACTCCCGCGGAGGCCAGTCCCGCCACCTCGGGAGGCTTGTCATTCCTCCGAGCCTCTCTCCTCCGTTAGACGGGGCAGGGGAACCAGCATTTGAGAGGCTTGGCCCGAGGTTGCTGAGAATCCTCAGCCCTGGTGTGCGGCTATGGGAACAGACCTTGAGAGGCTGAGCTAGTACCGAGGTCACATCAGCCAAGCCTGAGGCCCCTGGCCCGGGTCGTGTCCCCTCTGTTGAGTCACTGGCAGGATCCTAACGCGGGTGTAACGGGAGGAGCCGAGGCTCGACCGGCACCCAGGGCCCGGCGATTACGTCTGTGGCGTGAGTGTCCACCCGCGGCGTAGCCCCAGCCTCCCTCCCTGCCCAGGCACACCCACAGGGACTGAGTCCGGGGCGTCTGCGCCGCTCCCGGTGCGTAGTGAGTACTCTGCACTCTGAATCCTCAGATCTTTGAACTTGGGTTAGAATGGAGATGGCTTGTTTAATCTGGTCCAGCAATGATGGTCCAGGGAGTGTGTCCATCAGACGGAAGGGAACCCTACTGTCCATCCCGCATGCTTTGTAAGAACTGTTTGTTACGTGTGTATATAATTTTTTTTAAGTTCACCAAGTATTCACTGTGTGACAAACTCAGCACTGCTCATTCAAAACTCATGCCCCTGTGAAGTACATATTACTAGCACCCCCATTTTACAGATGGGAAAACTTGCCCAAAAGAAGTGGCAAAGCTGGGATTTGGACCAACGTCTGTCTGATGCCAAAGCTCTGCTGCTGGGCACTTTCTGATTGTTGGACTTGGCATTTATTATCATACTGCTGTGAGGATTAACTGAGATGGTTTAAGTAAAGCCAGGGCCTCTTGGTAGGTGTCTGCTGCCTTCCTGTTTTCTTACTCCCACCCTGTCCACCTTTCCCTTGGCCTGGTGCCCAAAACTGTCTTGCCCTCTTCTGTTCTGCCCCATATGGGGCCCTCAGCTGGGTTGAGTCACCTGTGTCTGTGCTCTCAGCACCCACCCCATCCTAACTCTGCCTCCCCATCTGCCCTGGGCCCCTCCCTGTCTTCAGTCCTCCACCTCCAGCCATGCTTCTGCCCCTGTGTCCTGTTAGCACTCTGCGTTCTCAGACCTTTCACTTCAGCACCATTCCTACAGACTTTCTCTGTGCCCACCTGTGAGCCAGGCACTGGGGTCACAAAAAGGCATCAGACTTGTTCACTGCTCACAGTCAAATGGGGTTGGCAGAAATACGCACAGGCAATCAATGCTTTGATAGAGGGAAACACCACAACCTGCAGGAGCCAGGAGATAGCCCTTAAACAGCCTGGAGAGAAGGGCAGGCTCCCTGATGGGTAAGTTTTGAAGGATGTGCAGGAGTCTGCCAAGTGAAGGAACAGGAAGGGTATGCCAGAAGAGGCAGGGCTTGAGCAAAGCCCAGGGGCATAGCAGCCTAGGACTGTCCCTTGGACCCCCACATTTCAGGCGCAGCTCCTCTGCTGAATTCTTTGGCCTCATCCCCAGTTGTCTCAGTAGGTACCCCAGATGCCTCATATTCAGAATTCCTGTTGTCTGTTCCTGCCTGTTCAGCATGGAGGCCTCTGTATGAGGCCCTGTAAACAGAACCATGTGCTTATTTCCAGTTTCCTGAGTACGATGACCTCTACTGCAAGTACTGCTTTGTGTATGGCCAGGACTGGGCTCCCACAGCGGTAAGCTGGACTCCTGGGCCCTTTTTACTCCCAGCCTTCTTGACTCTTAGGGCTTCGGAAGGTGTCTGTCACACCCCTTCCCCACCAGCTTGGAACCAGCTGTGTTCAGGAGGGACCCAAACCTGACTGTGTTCCTGGTTAAGATGGAGTAGAGAACAAAGCCACCCCTGTGTTCCCCGGGCAAGGCTGTGCTCACTCACGTACCTTATCTCGGGAACTTGTCCATGGCAGCAAAGCAGAATTGTGGGCAGTGCAGGCAGGCCAGCCCCAAGAACCAGCCTGGGAGCAGCTGAGCTGTAGGCACTCTGGGCCAGTCCCCTCATTTGGCTTCTTGTCCTGTGGGGAGGGCTCTGGAGAGTCAGAGGGCAGAGCAGAAGCTCTCCTTCCCAGACTGCCCAGGGAACAGTGTCTCTACCAGCAGGGGACTTTGATGATGACTTTAGCCTGCAACCCATTTCCTGTTTACAGAGCACTTGGTTTGATCTTCAACATGAGGAAATGGAGCCCAGGTTACTCAGCCTCTCTGAGCCTGTTTCCTCTTCTGTACAAGTGAGATGACAATATTTATTTCCATTCACCTATGGACTGAATAACTGTTGATAGTCCTCTTGGGTGATGGGGAAACAGTGGTGAACAAAGCCAGACTCAACTCCCCATCTTCTTGGCCTGCACATCCTTGGGGGATGAGACAGACTTTAAACATTAGGATTATAGCATGTTAGCTAGTAATAAATTGAGGTGAAAACACAGTCAGAAAGGGATGTATGGAGGATAAGTGAAGCTGTATATTCTTGCTAAGGTTCCCGGGAAGAGCTCACTGAGAGGTAACTTTGAGTAAAAATCTGAAGGAAGTAAGGGAACAAGCCATGTGGAAGAAGGTGCAAAGAACTTTCTAGGCAGAAGGAGCAGAGAAGGCACAGGCCCTTAGGCAGGAATGAGCCTGGCATGTTTGAGGAACAGCAAGGAGACCAGTGTGGCCAGTGAACAGAATGAGCATGGGGGAGAGTGGTTAGGGATGAAGCAGGGGCTCGTGCAGGGGCCACGGGAGGTGAGAGTAAGGACCACGGCCTTCATGGAAGTGGAGCTCCCATTCAGTGAGAAGACTGTGGATAGAGCAGATATGGGCCTGGGCTGGCAGGGTTCCCACAAATGTCCAAGAGGACCTGCAGAGCGAGCAGTGAAGACAGCGACGCTGGTCTGGAGTTCAGAGATGAGGACCAGGCTGGAGGCACAAGTTGGGGAATCAACACACAGACTGCACTGGAAGCTTTTGAAACCAGTGAGGTCACAAGTGAGGCTGAGGGGTGTCCAAGGACTGAGCCTAGGGACGCTCCCACACAGAGGAGGAAGTGGCAAGCACATCGGAGCAGGGGCCATGGAGAGGAGGGAAGACCCAGAGATGCATGGCATCCCAGAAACCAAGCAGAGGAAGCGTGGCAAGTGATCAGCTGTGTCCCATGCTGCTGGTGGGTCAAGTGCGATGAGGACAGAGAAATGACCCCAATAGGCAAAGCTGGGGTCACTAGGGTTACTTGACAGGAACACCCTGGTAGAGCAGGGGCCAGGAGTCAGATTGCAATGGGTCCATGAAAGCAAAGCAGAGGAGGAAGGGGAGCCAGTGAGCAGTGACAACTCTTTCAAGGTGCTTTGCTTGGAAGGGGAGCAAAGAGTGGGTTGATGGGTGGAGAAGCAGTAAGAGTCAAGAGAGTATCTTTTGTGATGCAGGAAACAACGCACATTTGCTGAGGGGAGTGAGGTGGGTAAAACCAGTGACGTTGGGGACAGCAGCGTCCTGCTGTGGAGGCTCCCCCGGTCAGTCAGGAGGGCATGGGAACTCGTGCACAGTGGGAGATTGGCTCTTGAGGTTGTCAAGCTCAAATGAGATAAAACACTGGAGTACCTGGGAGCTCCATTATCTCTTAGTTCCCTTGGTGTGGAAGTTAGGGTCTTGGCAGAACATAGTGAAGAGAACAGCAATCCAACTGCCTGCTCAGATTAGGGGAGGGGCGTGGCAGCCTGCAGCCTGAACACTAGCCTTCCCTGTCATTGTCTTCACAGGGTCTGGAGGAGGGCATTTCCCAGATCACATCCAAGAGCCAAGATGTGCGGCAAGCGCTGGTGTGGAACTTCCCCATCGACGTCACCTTCAAAAGCACCAACCCGTATGGCTGTGAGTCTGCAGGGGCCCTGCAGGGCCGGGTATGGGGAGGTGCCCACAGGGCAATCTTGGCCTCCTGTCCGCACTCAGATCCTCACTGCTCACCACCTAGGCCACCCGCTGTTTACTTCAACTTCTTCCTCTTCCCCATCCCAGTTCATCCACATGCCTGGCTTTGCACTTGGCCTTTTGGAAGTTCAGAGCTGGTCAGTGAGGCCCAGCCTGAGCTTTGGGCTGGCTCCGTGCCTGTGAAAGGCAGAGCCTGGTGTCTGGGGCTGCCATGACCTAGCCTGGAGAGCTGACCCTGCAGCCTCCCAGCTCTCCATCACAGGCGTGCTCCAGTGAGGCCTGGACCACTACTCCTCCTGGGAAAGTCCCTCTAGTCCCCTCTTCTGAGCCTTGGTCCATGCCATTCCCTTTGCCCAGGGCACCCTTCCCACCCCCTACCTCTGATCTCCTAACAAAGCCTTCCCTGCTTTCAGTATTTCCTTTCCACCTTGTCTGGTAGTTCTTGCTTACCCTCACTTAATAAATGCCTACTGTGTTCAAAGCCTGGGGTTTGGCTCCGCAGGGGCTCTGAATGCCCTCCCTATGTGCACTTCTCCAAGTTTCTAAATCGTATCTGGTGGATAGGTTTCTCTTTGTCTCTTTCCCCATAGTAGGAAACTGAGACTCAGCAAAGCAAGGTCACTTGCCTTCAGCTTTACATCTCATAGCTGAGCATGGATTTGATTTTGGGTGCATCTGATTTCATAGTCTGGGCTTTCCTGTGGCACGTGGCCGGGAGCCAAGCTTACTGGGTGCAGAGCATCTGCTGTCCTGTCATTTGTGAGTGCGAACACTTCCGTAGGCTTCCGGAATGGGGCAGTAGGTAATAGACCAGCCTCCTCCTGCTGAGGATGGCTAGGAGAGGTGAATAAAATATTAAGAAGCAAAACAAAACACAATTTGCCTCATCAGGAAGCTGGCAGAGTAGTGGAGATTTCCAGGCTAAGATCCAGGAGAAAAACAGAACCTTGAGATGTGATTCCAGTCACATTGCCTCTGGGAGTATTTGCTGATTTTAGCAGAGGATCAAGACTCTGACAGCCATTCTGGGCTGGGGGCACAGAACCAGGAAAACCCCTGCCACCCGGGCTGAGCCCTTGAAGTGCTGTACCCTTGAGGAAGGGAAGAAGGGAGTCAGACCAATGCTCCCAGGGGCTGCAACCTTGCTCCTAAGCTTTCCAGGCCTGGAACACAGTCGTAAGCCTTCCAAACAAATATTCACAGACTGAATCTAGCAGGATATAGAAAGGATAATATATCATAAGCAAGTGGGGTTTATCCCAGAAATACAAAGCTTGTATATTGCCTAAACTCAACCAATGCAATGCACTGCATTAAAGAGAAGGAAAGTTATGATCATCCCCATAAATGAAGAAAATGTGATAGAATTCAAATCCATTCATAGTAGTGAATTAAGAGTAGAGAGAACTTTCTTAATCTGATAAAGGCTACCTATAAAAAGCTTAGAGCAAGCATCACCTGGGAAGTTCCCTGTGAGATCAGGATGTTTATCGCCACCAGCACTGTACAATAAAAAGCGTGCATTAGAAAGGAAGAGCAAGACTGGCCTTATTCACAGGTGATGCAATTACATATGTGGAATTTACAAAATAATGTACAGGTAAATTACTAGAATTAATAAATTGGCATGAATGCCAGATGTAAGATCAATATACAAGAACCAGTTGGCTTTCTATATGAAAATAGAGTATTTATGTATCCTAATCTGTATAAAAAGTAAAGTGATTTTTAAAATAAATTATATTTACAATAATCTCAAAATGTAACTTGTTCTACTAGACATCAAGCTTTAACTATAAAGCACTTATAAGTGTGGTCTGGGCCCAAGGCCAGACAAATGGATCCATGGAGGGCCCTAAGATGGACCTATGCTTATGTAGATAATTGATTTGTGACAAAAGGTGCTGCAGAGCAGGTGGGAGGAAGGGTCATTTCGAGAAGCTGGGATGGGGCAGTCAGATACACACAGGGACAATGAAACTGACCCCTCCTACGTGTCATGTGTACACAAAGTCAGTGCCAGGTGGTTGTGTAAGTGCAAGTGTGAAAAGCAAAATAATGAAGCTTCAGAAAGTTGGCAGGGAAGACGGAGCAATGACATCAGAGAAGGGAAGACTTTAGGACTCCTTAAAGGACAAGATCTTGTCTATCCAGAGGTAGAATTTAACCAGCATTAGAAAGGAGCAGACCCTTGTACATGATGAAATCTGAAAGGGTCTCACAAACATGTTGAATTAAGCTGGATACAAAAATATACATACTATATGATTCCACGTATATAAAGTTAAAACAGATGGGTAAAATGGTGAAAACACAAAGTACCATGTGTGAACTGCACATTCTGGTGGTGAACCCTTACAGGAAAGAAGGGGTTTCATAAAATTGGAATAGTGGTTACCTTTGTGCGGGTTGGGTGGTGATGGGAAGGGTCTAAACCTCTTCCTAAAACTGAGCACTCACCTTGCTTCTGGTGCTGTTCCACGTGGCTTAGGGATGAGAAAGCGAGGGGCACAGAGGTGGGGTCACGGCCCACGGCTGTCTGGGGGCCGCAGGATCAGAGCTTGGCAGGCTGCTTCCCAATCCCTCCCTGCCACTCCTGTCACCAGGGGCAGTGGTTTCTCCCCTTCCCTTGGAGGACCAGCATACTGACCCAAGTGAAAGAACCTAACATACCTTGATGTTAGCAGGGAATAGGTGTAACTGCTGGTATTTTAAAGGAAGGTGCAAGGAAGGCCTTTGCTTTCCGTCTGACTTCTCTCATAGATACACCAAAACCAGCCCCTCTCTGGCCCATGAGCCCAGGCAATACATGCTTGACAGCCTCCATCCGAAAGGAAGCTCCCTGGGCCAGCCCTGCGCTCCTTTCACAGCGGGCTCCCCAGGCCTTCATCAAGGCCTCCTCCCAGAGGCACTTCCTGCATTTGTCAGATTACAGAATCGGGGCAGTCTCCTGGCTCTGTGACTGTCCAGGTGTCCGGGCCGAAAAAGGGCCTGGCCAGCACGTTCTTGTTCCCTGCTGTCTCCACCTGTTCTCCAGATTCCAGGTCAGCAAGAGACCTTGGAGCAGAGGGAGTCCTACGTCCACTCCTACCCTCCCGTCAAGCCTGCCACCCCTTCAAGTACCACCCTCCCTGTTCTCTGCCCCGCACCTTCCCTTGTGTTTCCCCACCTGCTGAACACCTCCTGTCTTATCCTCCCCAAGGGCCACAGATTGTGCTCAGCGTGTACGGACCGGACGTGTTTGGGAATGATGTGGTACGAGGCTACGGGGCAGTGCATGTGCCTTTCTCACCCGGCAGGTAGGTCCTCTTTCTGACCTGCTCCCAGGGCTGGGCCATGCTGGCTTTTCCTGGGACAGACTTCCCCTCTAGGCTGGGCTTTTCCTGGGACAGACTTCCCCTCTAGGCTGGGAATGCACTGGGGTCCCCAAGGGCCTGGGCAGCCCAGCTTGGAAGCTAGGGGTGCAGCCCATGTTTGGGAGGAGACCTATGTGGGTGAGGCTAATTCTGCCTCCCAAACAGGTTGGCTGGGGTTGGGAGAGAGTCAGGACCCAACAGGAAACCCTGGGCATTGTGAGAGGACACTGGGCCAAGCTAGAGAGTTCCTGGGCAGGTGGGGTCTGCAGTTCAGACAGTCAGTCCATTCCTTCATTTCTTCCCTCCCTCAGTGTCCTTCAAGCTTTCACTGACACCCGTCCTGTGTCTGGCTCTGCTGGCATCAGAGGACACAGATGTGTCAGACATGTGTGACTGCATGGGCCCTACCTCAGGACCCCCCAGTGTAGTAGACACAGATGGAGAGACAAAACTCTCTTTCGTTAACTACAGTGCAAGGGTACAGACAAGGGCATTCTGGGGTGCAGAGGAGGGCCAGGGTCGGCTGCCCTTGAAGAACCAGGAATTTGCCTGGAGAAGGTGGGAGAGGGACAGGGTGTGTGTGCACAGCGCTGTGGGAGGGCTGCTGCTGAGACAGAGGGCTAGGTGCCTGGGGTGTGGGGGAGAGGAGGGGCGGGAGGGGGACAGGACCCAGGCTCTGAGGGCAGGACTGGGGCAGGTGACCACGGGGTGGGAGGTGCAGGGAACTGTCAGAGTTCCTGGAAGGAAGAGCTTCCAAACTGGGCCTTGCTGGCGGAGCCTTTGGACTTCCGGAGGACAAGGGCTCTCGGGCAGTGTGAGCTGGGACCCCAGGCCGGCTTTTTACAAACCTTGGCATCCTCCTGGTGCTTGGAAACAAACAAGACTCTCATGGGACTCTGAGTTCTGCGAGTGGTGTCCCCTCGCCCCCGCCCCAGGCAGTGGGCACAGTCAGCGGGGCTGAGCCGGTGGGCCACTGCTCTCATGGTGCTCCTCTCACGGGAGGCTCGGAGAGCTCCTGCACTTCCTGTAACTCAGCACATCTGTCTGAAAACATCTGTTTCAGGCACAAAAAGACCATCCCCATGTTTGTCCCAGAATCCACGTCTAAATTGCAGAAGTTTACAAGGTGAGTTTTCTACCCATCACCCCTCACCTCTTCTGACCTTGGTGGTCAAAGTGGGGGAGGGATGCCACATTCCACCCCTGCCTGGGCCAGGTCACCTTGCCAGACTTCAAACTGCTGTCTTTTGGGGACAAATGGAAACAGTTCTATGGGATTGCTGAGGGTCACTGGGCTCCCTTCAGCCACTGTTCCAGCTGCATAAGGTCGTAAGCCTTTACCCTGTGCCCTGTGAGAAGTCTTTATGTCAGAGCAGAGGAAAAACCTCATTAGATGGGAAATGCTCGTGATATAATATGCCATTAAAAAGTAGTGTACAAGAAGATACAGCAGTTAGAGCCAAACAATGTAAAACAGCACTAACCCTGGTAGGTGACACCTAACAGTCATGAACGCCTTAGCCTCCTCGAGGAGGTGACATCTGAGCAGAGACTAGAGCGGGGGTAGGGGCTGTGGGGGAGGCCTGGGGGCCTAGGGACAGCATGTGCGAGGCCCTGAGGAGAGTGGGCTTGGTGTGGTAGGGGCAGCAAGGAGGGGGTTACGGCTCATACATGGTGAGCAAGGGAGCACGTGGCTGGGGGACACAGCAGGCAGGCTGGAGGTGCTTGTGATGAGGGAGAGCAAGCCCAGGCCTCTTGCCCCTGACCATGTCCAGGTGGGAGCTTGGAGGGCAGTTTGGTCAACAGAATCCTCCGAGAGGTGGGGCCCATGGAGGCCACCATGTAACAGCCCCCTTTTCTCAGCCGGGTATTGCTGGGCCAAAAACGGTGTCAGCAGGGCACGCCCCCCAGAGGCTCTAGGGAAGCATACATCCTCCCCACTCCAGGCTTCTGGTGGCAGCCGCCGCCCTGGGCCCGTGGCCACATCACTGGAGTCTCTGCCCCTGTGGCCACAGGTCCTCCTCCCAGTGTGTGTCACTCCTCCCTCCGCCTGGCTCATGAGGACACTTGTGGTGGCATGGAGGCCTCTCCTAGGATGCTAGTAGGCCCCACGTTCTCCTGTCCTCTCCACCACTTGCCTCCCTCCTGCCTTGGTTCCTCCAGCCCCCTTGGTCCTTGCCAGCCTCCGGCCCTTGCCTGGAACGCCAGGCCGGGGCAGCTGTGTGTGTGAGCACCCGAGGCGGGCCAGGCGCGTGGGCCTGCCTCCCACGCCTGGGTCCTCACAGCAACCCGTGAGGTGGGTGCCGTTGAAGCCCCACTCCTGCGATGGAGAACCTGAAGTGCAGAAGCGGTGACGCCACCCTCCAGCCACAGCTGGGACCCTGGGACCGCAGTCCTCCCTCCCAACTTGGGGTCCGTGAGCCCTCCCTCGGGTCCGCACGCCTCACACGGCTGGGCGGGGCGGCAGGCCCCGCCCCCGGGCCGCCCCCTGGAGCCACCGGCTCCGGGCGTGCGGCCGAGGGAAGCCAACCCCAGCCGCGGCCATGCAGGGCCCCGTCCCTGGGCCGCCCCAGCTTCCCTTCGGGGAGGGCGCTGGCGGCGGCGGGCCGAGGTGGCTATGCCGGGGCGGAGCCAGGCCCTCGCGGCCCTCCCCGCTCGGCTGCTGTGCCAGAAGGCAGGAACCTCGGGCGGCACCTTGCCTACTCCTTCCCCGAGGCCGTCCCGAGTGCCCGCACTGCCTGGCGGTCGCGTGGCGGAGTCTCCCCTGTGCGGGTCCCCAGAGGTCAGGCCCGGGAGGCGGCTCGGCACGAAGCCCGCGTCTGCCTGACCCACCCGACCGAGGATAGTGCTCCGCGTTGGTGTCCGGCTCGAGCGGGTGTGTCGGAGGCGAGGCTGCTGCTCCGAAAGGAGCTGCCCTGGCTGGGCTGCGGGGCCTGCAGCCGGGAAGGCTGGCGCGGCGCTGAGGCCGCGTCGGCAGCTGCACCGCTCCCCAGCGGTGCCTGGGGCCAAATGCCCAACTGCACTCAGCCTTTCACTCAGCAAGGGGGATTCAACCGAGTGAGGGGCAGGTAGACCGCGGATGTGCCGGCGCCAGTGCTGAGCGCTGCCCCCTTACCAGGGGGACCAGGGAGCTAGGCGATCACGTCTGTCACTGCAGAGCAAGTACAGCCCTGGGGCAAGTGAATCCAAGAGCTGGAGCCATAAATAGTAGGGTGGGTGTTTCACGTGCTAGTTGACAGTGTCCACAGTCCTGAGGTAGGCCACGATATTGAGAAAAATCTGGGGTTCAGAGATGGGGAGTGACTCATCCTGGATGTCACACTACCAAGAGGGGTGTGATGAGCGCAGATCTGGCCCCTCTGCCCACCCCAAGGATGACTGCCGGACTCTGGGGCGGGCCCTCCTTCCCAGTGAGGATGGGGGCGTCACACTTTCCCTGACCCCCTTCCCCTCCCCCCACCGCCCCTGCTGTCACCTTTCTGGAATTCCACCTGGGTTTAGGCAGTGCCCCCCACCCCACCACAGATACCTTCCGGGGTGCCCAGCCACGCCTTCCATGGGCAGAGGGAAGGTTCCGCCCTGGGCTGGCCCTGGGGAGGGGTTGGAGTTGGGTTGCTGGTTCTTGAAGCAAGGAGAGAGCCTACATCCAGGATCTGAGGTACAGCCAGGCGGGGGCCTGCTCACCAGTGTTCTCCTGTCTTCCCAGCTGGTTCTTGGGGCGGCGGCCAGAGTACACAGACCCCAGGGTGGTGGCTCAGGGTGAAGGACGGGAAGGTAAATCTTGATCCCCCACCCACCCCTATCTCACAGCAGGTTAGAGCCTGGCAGGGACTAGGTAGGCCCTCAGGAAACCAACGGGGTGGATGCTGGGGACCTGCCAGGCATGCAGAGCAGGTACTGTGGGAGCTGGGTCCAGGAAATTCCCCAGAGCACCTCCCAGCTGCAGGTCTGGTGGGAGCACAGGGTGTGCCCGTCCATCCCCACTGCAGCCCCTTCACCCCCCATGAAGGGCACAGACCAGGCACTCCTGTCCCAGTTTTACACTGAGAATGCTGAGGCTGAGAGATTCCCAAAGCAGCCTGGATCTGTCCCTGCTCCAGCCTAGCTGATGCTACCCTTCTGTCTGCAGTGACCCGTGTCCTCTCCCAAGGCTTTGTCACTCTCCTCTTCAACGTGGTGACCAAGGACATGAGGAAGCTGGGCTATGACACTGGGCCTCCAGACACACAGTGTGTCCTGGGGCCCAGCCCGCCTCAGGGCCTCCCCCAGTGAAGGCATCAGACTCCTGCAGCTGTGCAGGCCCAGCACCTTTCGGATGACACAGGGCCATCCTTCTGCCCAGTTGGCCATGGATCCCTCTGCCTGAGCAGCCTCAAGGCGTGGGGGTGGGGATATTTTTATGTAATAAAGTGTCGCCTTTTCACAGAGCCCAGGCCTGGGCTGCCTTCTCTCCCCTGTAGCACCTCCCCCATGAGAGCTGGCTCACAGCCCTTCCCAAGCTCAGCCTGGGCCCACCATCTCAGCGCTCCCCAGGGCATGGAAGCTCCAGGAGAGGCACACCAGGATGCCAGCTGGGAGGTGACCTTTGGTTCAGTACTGGTTCTGCCACTCACGGCGGTGACATTCTGTGTGTCAGCATGCTCATCCCTGAAACAGCGTGTCCTCCACTGGGGACATGTTGGGAGCTCAGTAGAATTGCCTGCTCAGTGCCTGGCACTTGTGCCAGCTGTGCTCCATGACCACCAGCCTCCCTTGGCAGGAAGGAGAATTCTTTTAGGAGCTGCACAGAGAGGCCTCCCCCCGACCCGCCTCCACCTCCACAGCCCAGAGGACAGGCCTGAAAACCTCCCAGGTGGGAAGCTGCTGGAATCCCAGCATTCTGGTCTCACAGCAGGAGAGGAAGGTGAGCCCCTTGGCCAGCACCCTGCACTAGGGGAGCTGAGCCCTTTTCTCTTGGCACTGCTGTGGCAGACCCACCTCCCAGCCTACCCTAAGTCAGAGGCTGGCCTGCCACAGTGTGGCATCTGCTACCCCCCACTTCCCACCCTCCTCCGCAGCTGCTGCTCAACCTCTGGGTGGGACACAGAGCTTGCCCAGTCTCCCCCTAAGCCTGGACACCACCCTCAGCAGATTTAAGGGAAGCCACGAGGTGCTCCCAGCCTGAAGACCACCAGGCTGGCCACTACACTGCTCCAGCTGTAGATGGAAACTGCCCCAGTAATGCGGGTCTGCCCTTCATCTCACTGACTGCTCTCAGCACTGGAAGTTTACGCTGCTCAGGCAGTCCTGGCTCTTGCCTCCAGCTTTCTGCACACTCAGGAATTTGTGGTCTGTGTCATCAGCAAAATTCCTAGGATTCCGACCCTCTTCTCTGAATGCAAAGTCCCCTCCACCTCTTGCCCTTAGTGAAACCCACCTTGTCGTCCCCGGCAGCCCTGCTAAGCAGCATCTTTTTGCCCCCACACTCCATGTGCCTTGGGCCCAGAGCTGTTTGTGTCTTGTCCCTTTGCACTCCCTCCTTCCCCATTCAGTGCCCACAAAAGTGACACCTAGCTTGGTCTCCAGCTCTTCTTGGCAACATCAGTGTCTGCATGGATGACCCTTCCCACCACTTGAACTCTTAGTTTCCTCCCTTTCAATGACCTTGACCTGTGCCCCTCAACTGCCCCACTCCATTCCCAGGGTCACAGCTGTTTCTGGTTACCTGTGCCTGAGCGTCCCTCTCCCAGATGGCTTCCTCCCTGCATGTGGTGCCTTTCCCCTGGTCCCCACACCAAACAGCCTTCGTACCCTCCTGGTCCTCCAAGCCACCTCCTTTCCTCCCCTCTCTGCCCAGTGAGGAATGCACAGGCATCACTTCTGTGCACTTGATCCTCACATGCCCTCAACTGCTGTGCCCTTGTCCCTTTCTGTACCCTGCCATGCAGCCCCAGCCCTCAGACGCTAGCCATTGCCTGCTCGCCACCCCATTGCAGCCCTCTCCTGCAGTCCCTCAAGAAGCGCCCTCACATCGCCCCTTGGCCCCCCGCACCGCAGCTGGGCACTCACGAGGGGCATCCCACTCAGGCCCTCGGCTCCCCTGGGGCTGCCCCCATGGCCCCACCAGGCCTCCATGCCCTGAGGTTGCCTCTCCCCCTCATTCTGGCTCCTTGAGGGGCTGAATCTTCCATCCGCCTCCTGTCACTGCCCAGAAACCACTGTCACCCCGTGTGTAAACCTCAGGGTCTGTCAGCACCTCTGACTTAGTGGCTCACTCTCTTCCTATTATATTATTCTATTTCCTAATTTTAAAAAATTTTAAACATTTTATTAAACTAGAACACGTTTCCATGTTTGAACATAGAAAAGTTGAAATGTTACAGTGATGCCTTGGCGACCTCGTGCCTCATCCCAGTCAAGGCAAAGAAAATGAGCTCTGGGAGTGAGGGGGTGTGGTTAACCCGGGGCTGGGGAGCAGGGTGGGGCCCCGTGAGCACCTCCATGAAGGACAGTCAAGATGCACAGCCCCAAATTCACCCCTCCCCTGCTGTGCACTCCATCCTCCGCGGCGAGGCCACCAGACCACGTCCTTTTTCTCCTGGCCTTGAAGGGAGACAGCATTTCCCAGCCCCCTGTGCACAGGTGGGTCCATGTGAGTAGTTCCGGCTAAAAAAGGGTGGGTTGGAAGAATGTGCACTTATTAGAGGTCTGACCCATTTAAAACCTCCCATGAGCAACTTTCTCATTCTTCCTTTTCCACGGCCCCCTTGACCACGTTTTGAAGATGGCACATTAGGGAGAGATGCCCAGGTCACTGAGCACCCACCTTGGGCATTTTGTGAGCAAGTAACTTTGTGTTCTGTCACGAGAAGCTGGGGATTATGTTCCTGCATAGCCTATCCTAACTGAAGTCAGTAGCTATCCTAACTAATTCAGGGCTGGGTTTCTGCTATAACCAAAAAACCCAAACCAAAAAGGAATGAACGTGGCCCTGGCTTAGCAGTTGGGTAGCAAGCAGGAAGCATGCAGGCGAAAGGCTGGACAGGACAGCCCTGTTATATGAACACAAAATGAGATACAACACTTGTGTTAGCGTGGTAGGCAGCCAGCAGCTCCAGAGGAAGACAGATGACAGGGCACGTGGCTGCATTTAGAAAGCTAGCACAGTGAAGAGATGAGCTCAGCAAAGAACTGGCCCATTTGCAAGCAGAGCAGAGGTGAAATAAAGAGGATCCAAACATTTTTGGCATTGAACAGTTGGAAAAGGAAACTTCTTAGAACTCAGCTGGTAAGAGGTAAGAATGAAACATGCTTTGAGCAAAAAGTCCTGGTAAAACTCAATTTGGACAACTCAGCCTTCCGGTAAATATCAGAGAAAAATAATAGTAGCTACATTAAGCTGAAAGCATGGTGTGCGGTGAGGGTTCAGCAAAGCAATAAAGCAGGCTTATGTCTAGGAAGTTCCATGCATGTGCTTCAGTGATCTATTGCTGTTTACCAACTACTCCCGAAACTTTGTGGCTTAAACCACCGCCATATATGATCCCTCCAGATTTTACAGGTGACTCGCTAGGGGCCCAGGATGCCTCCCTTATGGGAGGGAATGAGTATGAAAGGGGTCTGTGTATGAAAGGAAGAGTATGTGGTGACTAGAGGGCTCGCTGACTAGCCCTGTGTTAATCCATTTCTCACCCCCTGGGGTGCAAAGGGAGCCTGTTTCCCATTCCCCTGCCCCTAGATGGAGCCGTGGGGCCAGTTCTGGCATTGGGACACAAGTGGAAGCCATGCACTGCCTGGCCTGGCCCCTCAGAGATCTCGCACACAGCTCCCTATGCTCACTAGTTCCCTTCCGTGGTAACCTCCAGGGCTGTACGAAGGTGGCAGCATCAAGAGAAGGCAGCTGGGATCTCCGATCACTGCTTGAAGGGGCCTGAGCAGGCACTGGACTCCATGAGAAATAAACTTGCTTTGTTAAGCCACCAAGTCGTGGAGGGTTGTTACAGCAGCGTACCCTCGGGCACCCTGCTCTGGCAAACCTCCCCCTGCTGAGTGTTACTTCCCCAACCCCAGTGGACCCCAGGAGGCCAGGGCTTCAGCACAGAGAGGATGGGTGTGCAGGGCAGCCCCAGGGCTGAGGTGGGAGCTGAAGCCCACACCTGAGGGCAAGCCGCATGCCCACTGCCCCCTCACCGCTGTCCCACCCAGGTCCTGGCCTTTGCCATACTCTCCAGCATCAGGACACCTCCTGCATCTCTGCCTGGAAAGGGGTTTCTCCTTCAGTTGGTGCACCTCCTCTGAGCACAGGTCCTGAGAAGGGACGGGCCCTCCGTCCCGTCAGCTATGCCACAGTAAAGTGCACGAGCCACCCAAGAACTATCTCGAATGACCAGGTTGGCTGGGCAGCTCCTCAAGGAACAGCCCTCTGGGCACAGGCACAGAAGAGGAAGCAGAGGCGGGCAGGCACTGAAGACGCGGCCTGGAACTGTCATTGTCCCTCATTCTAAGCGTCTCGTGGCTATGCCCGAAGTCCACAGATGAAGTGCCACCAACGACCCCACCAATGACAAGGCCACAGTGAGAGGTAAAGGACTGCCACCGCCTCCTGTGGGGCAGGACTGATAGGGTCGGGAAAGGACACAGAAACTGCATCATGATACAAATGATAAATTATATTCATATAGTAAATAAGTATCAATAGTCAACACAAGTTCAAAACCAGCCACCAGGCCTTGGCACTGAGGAAATGGCTGGGTGACACCTCCTACCACAGTGCCCATGAAGAGGGCACACGAGGCATGTGTATAACACGCATGGCAGCAGCCGCTGGCTTCATGGTCAGTGCAGCAGGCAACAGGGACAGAGCCTGGGGCCAGGCCTGTGTGTGGAAGTGGGGCGGGGATCTTCTCAGCTTTGGTGGCCCCGTGGCTGTAATGTTGGGAGTCAAAGTCATGTCAGGAAAGGCTCTTGACTGTTAGAAAAGAAACCACTGACCCAGTAGTTGAGTTTGGCCTACGCAGTGAAAGGGCCCGGACCACACCATGTGAGCGGAGGCACCTCCCTGGGGAAGCACCACTCCAGGTGGAAGAGGCCAGACTCGGCCACCTTCAGTGACCTAAGCCCAGGGTCCGCCCCATGTCTCCAGTTCAGGCTGAGGCATGGCCAGTCAGGAACCCGGGCTGGAGGGCAGCTCCCAGGGCAGCACAGGTGAGCTCTTTTAAGCAGGAAATGGAGTGGCCCGACAGGGCAGGTCTAGCTCGGCCAGCGTGCCTCCTGGCATTTCTCCACCTCCCTAGTGCCCAGTGCTAAGGGTCATACCTGGACCTGGGAGGGGCGGAGGGGCTCCCAAGAGGCTGGCTGCCCTGTGAGCTGGAGTTGAGACGTCCACAGGGGGAATGCCCAGCCCTCCACAAAAGCAGACGGGCACCAGCTTCAGGTGAATGACCCCCACTGTAGGGATGCCAGTCCTCTCTGGTGACTTGAGTTTTTTATAGTGGTGGGTGTGGTGAGGAGAGCAGGAGGTTGGAGAGGGAGGCAGTAATAGTGCATGTTTATTAACAATCTATTCTGTGTGAGAATGTTTTTTTTTCCTCTCCAAAGAGATGAGTATTTTTAAGTCTGCAACGTGTCTGGAGTTGGCAGCTGAGTGGGCCAGGGATCCCCCAGGGAGCCACAGGCACAGAAGCACCGCCGCTCTCCAGCGCCCGCCATCTCCGTGCTATCCCCACCTTCCCCTGAGAGTGGATTGGGACAGAGGAAGTCAGACACACGGCTCCAGCCATCTCGTCCATTCCAGATACCCACTGTAAACGAGGTCCTTGTAATCCGTGCCTGCCTACACTTACAAAACAGAATTAGCTGGTAAAAACTAGTGCATCATATTCATACATTAGATTTTTTTTTACTTTCCTGATATTGGTATATCAGTAAGAAAAATAGCCTTTTTCTTAGCATCTGGCCAAAAGGGCTGAAGGTCAGTCAGTTTGGTAATTCACCAAAAAAGGGAGCTAAAGGAGGGAAAAAGCAACTGGAGGCTAGGATGTTTTGTTGCTGTTGGGAGTTTTTTTTCCGTAAACATCATCTTTTATGTGTAATCAAATTCCCATATTTTTCCCTATAAAGAATTTGCTTTAGTTTTTCCATAAGGCATTGTTTTTGTCTCTTTCTATTTAAATTTTCTTACAGTTAAAACCATAAATAAGAGGATTTAAACCACTAACATGACACTTGCCAACATCTTAATTCAGCCAGACCTGGTAAATTCTATCAAAACTAGACAGTTAAATAAGAACCACGTTATAAAAATATTAGCCAAAAAAAGACTATTAGATAATTCTGCAAACTCAAATATGAAACTGTACTAAACAAAATATGTGCAAACGTATACAAGCATAGAGCCACGTGGCAGGGTTATGCTCAGATTAGTTTAAAGCTTGCTCTAGTGGATTTAATTCAGGAGTTGTTCCACGGTGGTGGTGTTTACTTTTAACTCACACATGAGTCAAGGAAAAATAAAATATGCACAACCACTTCCCCAAAAGGTCAGTGTCTAGTGGGGCAGGTGCTTCACTCTGTGCATACCAGGGACCACCTGGGGGTGTTGCCAGAGTGGGGGGGGGGCATCCCAAGTGCTGGGCTAAGCAGTGTCCCAGAGACCCTTGGGCTGAGGCTGGGGTAAGGGCAACACCCCAACAGCCAACCAGCCTCCACAGGAGCTGGGCCTTTGCACCAGGAAGCAGTGAGGGGAGCCGGGCCCTTGCACAGGAGGCAGTGAGGGGAGCCGGGCCCTTGCACAGGAAGCAGTGAGGGGAGCCGGGCCCTTGCACCAGGAGGCAGTGAGGGGAGGCAGGCCCTTGCAATGGGATGCAATGAGGGGAGCCGGGCCCTTGCACGGGAGGCAGTGAGGGCAGCTGGCTGGGCTGGTGAGCGGGCAGCCTCAGGGCGCAGAGACGGAGTGCTGAGTCCTCTGGCTCAGCATGCCCACTCAGGTCTGAGGGCTGAGGCTGGGCAGACAACCCTTTTATCAGGAAACTGAACTGGAAAACCGCAACACCCACCCCCAACCCTCAGACACCATTCCATTAGTGATAAGTCCTTGCTCAGCGTCCTCAGGCACAGGCATCTGGACATTTGCTCTGTGGCGGGTCCCAAGCCCCGGCACTAGAGAAGGAAAGGGTTGGTTGTGCCAGTGGCCTGCGCTGCGGACGGGGGTAGGCCCACGCTGCCCACCATGTTCATTGGGGCGGGGCCCAGTGGTGTCAGGGAGGAACCACCGGCCCCCAGAGCTGCGTGTGGGGCTGTGGAGGTCATGGAGGGCTCCACACCTGGGCTGTACCCAAAGGACGAGCTGGTTCCCAGGACTGGGCTCCCCCGCAGCTGGTTCAGCGTCAGCGGCTGGGGCTGGTTCACCTGGAAGGGGTTGACAGGGGCTGAGGCTGTGGCTGCACCTGGGGAGAGAGCAGGAGGGGCGGTGGCTACAGTCAGAACACCACCAGTCCCCGAGTCCACGGCCAGAAGCACATGTCCTCAGACAGCCTGTCATTTTGGGACCAGCTGTCCCTCAGAGCCGAGAAGTGCACCAGCCCCCACATGACAGACACACCTGTGTCTGGATGGATGAGGAAACTGAGGCTGTGAGAAGCCAGGTGACTTGCCCAGAGTCACAAAGCCTGAATAAGGCAGTGCCAGGAAGGTGCGAGGCCCATGGGGCTCCAGCTCCTACTCAGGGGAGTAGGAGGACCCCAGGACTCCCTCAGCAACAATCAGCGGCATTTCTCCCATATGCGGTTTGCTGAGCTCTGTGACCACAGGTGCCTGGGAGAAAGAACAGCAGAGGGGAGGCCAGAACTGCAGAATGTGGCCTGAGAATGGCCGCCCCCATGCTGCCCCAGGACCCAAGAGCTGGCATGGCAAAGGCTCTGAGAAGTCCTGCAGTCAAAAAGCAGATGCAGCTTTGTCTTATCCAATGTTTCCAGAATTTATCTCATTATCAGAAAGCTTTTCCCTGTTAGCAAAAACATCTACTGCTACTGTCCCCCAAAACAAGGGAGCCGCCAGCACTGAGTCTCTCAAGCAGCCCAGCCCCCAGCACAACGGCTGCCGGGTAAGGGGCACCCCAGTAAGGGGCACCCCACAGGTCACCACCAGGAGACGCTGCCGCTCCCCACACCACACTGGGGGGAGGCCCTGCAGAGGGCACACCCGACATTATCAACCCTCCTGGCAACTCCGGGAGTGGGGCTTGGCCCAGTTAGAGCTGAGTAAACTCTCCCAAGTAGCAGGAGCCCTCCGGGGTCAGGAAGAGTTTGTCTTGGGACAAACCAGGCTGGCTGAGGAACCTGGGTTCTGATCCAGCTCTGCACAGGGAGCAGGGAGCCACAGAGCCACCCTCCTCAGGGCAACCACATCCTGACCCATCTCAGGCCCACAGGGTTGGGTGGCACTCTGCAAACCCCACTTCTCTGGGGTCCTCAACCTCAGCCCTGCTAAGTCCTCTGTAGGGCCCCCTAAGGACTGCAGCCCAACCTTCAGAACCTGTGGTCTTGGGGCAGGTCTGAGCTGGAACACCTTGAATGTGACATATTTCTGCCCTTGGGAAGCCCAAGGCCTTGCTGGCACATCTGTGGGAAAGGAGGGAGGCTTCCTGGAGGAAGAGGGTTCTGTGGGCTGGTGCTGAAACAGGCGAATACAATTTCCCACTGGAAAAGGTGGGAGGGCCTCTGGGCAGGGGAAGCAGAATGTGTGCGTGAGGAATGCCAGGAGCTGGGCACAGCTGAGGTCTGAGTCTGAGCACTGGGGAAGAAAAAGGACGGCAGGGCCGGCCACAGAGGCCTGGACACTTAAGAAAGCATCGGGGGCTTGTTCTGCCACCAAATGGAGCTGTTGAGGGTGGAGAGCAGGCCTTTAGACAGAGCTCATGGGCAGGTGGTTAGGTAGAGGGGTGAGGCAGGATTCCCAGCCTGCAAAAGCTGACCGCAGCAGTCAGGGTGGAGTGAGGGTCCTGGGGTCCCTAGGGCTTGGCCTCCCCCAAAATGGGGGTGTTGGGCAGCAAACCCCAGCTCTCCCTCACACCCGCACTGCTCCTTCCAGCTGACCCAAAAGCGGTGCTCACTTGAGGGCAGCATGTTGGGGGCAGTGCCTGTTCAGTGGTCTCTCCTGAGACCACCCACCTTTTGATACCTGAACAGCCACCTCAGGCCCTGCCTCATAAGGGCCTGGAGAGGGGCAAGTGCTGGCTTCCTTCCCTCCAGCACAGCACCCGAGTGCAGGATATGGCAGGAAGAGACGCCCCAAGAGGTGGAGAGGCCCCACGCCCTTCTCAGGAAGAGCAGCCAGCCAGAGGAAGGCCCAGGAAGCGAGCATACCTGGTGCCAGGAAAGGGTTGAGGGACTGGGCTGGTGGGGCTGGCCTAGTCACCAGCGAGTCCAGGTTCACCAGGGCCGCGTTGGGGCCCAGGAAGGACTCAGGTGTTTTCCGGGCGCTGCTGGGCTTGCTGGAGGTGACAGTCAGAGGCTGAGACTCAAAGGGGTTGGGGCTTGTAGTTCCATTGTTCTGGGACAGTGGGGAGGCCGCTGCCTCGGCTACAAGACAAGGACACACACAGCTTAGTGAGCAGGGAAGGCAGGGCCCCAAGACTGGAACAACCACTGCCACCAACCCCAGGGGTGTCCAGAGCAGAACACAAACATCCCCTGGACACATGACTTCCCATGGAAACTGCATGGCTATGCAGAGGATGGGGTAGTTCACCACAGTGCTGTTTCCAACAGTCCTAGACTGAAGACAGCCAACCACAGGGCAGGTCACAGAACCCATGTCCACATAACCAGGCCCAGCGGGCAGCGACAGAAGCTGTACTGCAGTGAGAAGTAAGAAGGGCATGTGACCACTAGTACACATAGCTCAGCCTCCTCAGCAGTGAGATGCTCCTGTGGGTTGTGGGCAAGGCATGGGTCATTCATAATTTTAATGGTTTCATTTTCTAAATTTTCCATGACAAACATGAATAAGAAAAGAAAGCAAATTATTTTTACCAATTCAGCCAACAGAGGTTGTGCTGAGACAAGCTGGTGGGAATGTGGTTGCTCTGCCAAGATATAATAACGTGGCAATGGGTACACACTGGTTCTTAAAAGTGGTCATGCTCGCCATCAGTAATCCCATTTCTAAGAATCCAGTCTCATGAAATAATGCAAAATGTGAACAGGGATTTAAGCACAAAGATGTTCACCAGAGCATTATTTACTTTAGCAAAACTAGAAATCAACCTTAAATGTCCTCCCCAAAATTAAAGATTAAAAAATTACTGAACAATATACTGAACAATACAAAGAGATACTACATAGATATGAAGTATTTTCTAAAGACTTTTAATGTCATGAGAAAATGTTTTCAATCTGTTATCTCAGAAAAGGGGGAAGGGAGACAGGATTCAACTCTGTCTGATAGAAAGAGCTGAACAGAAAAACTCTATGTAAGAGTTCAGAAAAAGTACTGAGGAAAGACAGTGGCTGAGGGCAGGGAGAATGATGATAGATGATTTTCATTTTCTTCTATAAACCTTTCCAAATTTGCAATTGGAATAATTCTAGAATTAATAGTAAATATTTGCAAGCCCACTGAAGGATGGGCTCATGTAACAAAGCCACCTGCCTTCTTACTGAGGCGCAGAGGGGTGGGAAAGGACACTTAGGTTATACTTTGGCCTGTAGAGGAGACACATGGAATCTTGTTGTTTTTAATGCCACAAAGCATGTTTTAAGAAACAGCATGTTTTAAGTTGCCTCTGTTCCCCAGAGCTGAGAGGGGCCAAAAGGGTTCTCAGGGTGCCAGGGCTGCTCATACCTTAAGACCAGGGCCAGCCAGGACTATGGTTGTAGCTGGGGGAAGAGGAGGAGGAGGTAAGAAGGAGGAGATGATAGGGACACATGGAGGGCACAGGGAGGGAATGGGGAGAAGCCACAAAGGGACAGAGAAAGGAGACAAGTTGCTCTATGTGGCTGGGAGGTGTGGCCAGGACGGACAGAGGCTGCCTGGCTCTGTCCCCGGCTCCACTTGGGGGTGAAGGTGTACCAGGCTTCCCTCCTCTGCACCTCTCTGCACCTACCCTGTTCCCCTCCCAGCCCAGGGGCACACAGGGGAGGAGCTGGGTGATGAGGTGGAGCAGGTATGTCCAGTCTGTGCCTACGCCGGACTGTCCAGATAAGGTGGCATCTTTTGGGAGTTGGCGAATGGACACGATGGCTCAGTCAACACTGGACCAAGGGGGCCACAGCAGCGGCTTCGGCAGGCAGGCATAAGGCCCAGGGGCAGGAAACACTTGGTCCGACAGGACAAGACAGTGAAAGAAAAACTTGACCACATGATGTTTCGCTGCTGGTGTGTGAATTCCTGCAATTAGACCCTTATCGCTCCCAAGATTAAAACACAAAATGCGTGAAGTTGTTAAGTTTTGAAAGCTGATTTCTGCAGTAACTGGGCTGGCCAACTGCTCAGAACATTATGGAAACAAATACCACCTTTACATACCTGTTTTTTTTGAAGTTCGGAGGTTGTCAAATTCAGAAAAGTCATCTTTAATTGTACCATTCAAATTGCTGAAGAGGTCGAAGGCCCCTGGTGGACACACAAAGCCAGTGACCATGGGTGCACCATGACCTCTCTGTGCTCCCACCTCCCGGGTATAACCTGGAGTGGCCTGGCAATAAGCAGGGGTGCAGATCTCTGCCCCACCTCACGGGGGCAGCTTGGGCTCAGGGTCACCTGGTGGGCTGGGAGGGGACTGGAGGGGGCCAGGCCAAGGACCCTGGGCTCCCCCAGCACAGCCCTGCCACCACTCCCACCCCTACCCCAAAGAGAAGGAGGGGCCATGGTGGGGGAGACGCAGCTCCTTCTGGAAGGGGTGCAGGGGCTGGTGAGTCCCATGGGCTCTCTCCTCTCCTCAGTTGCCTCAAGGCTCTGGGGACAACAGCTGTGGGGGAGGACAGCAAGTGCATGCAAACCCCTAGGCCCATGGCAGAGTGAGATCTCACCAGAGGCAGGCACAGGCTTGCTGGCTGCAGCTGAGGCTGCAGCCCAGGCATCAGCTGTTTTCCCGGCACCGGAAGCAGGCTGTGGCAGCGCCAACCAGGGGTCTGAGCTCTTGGAGACAGGCTGTGTGCTGGCTCCAGTGGGCACTCCCCAGGGGTCAACAGAGGCAGCTGGCTTGGCACCTGAAGGAAGGCAGGATAAGTTCAGAGATGCCCTCACAAAGTTCTAGGCAGCTAGGGTACAAAGACAGGGGCCACTGTTGACCAGGTGAGCTACACCGGGGTCTGTGCCAACAAATGGTGCTGTTCCACACCAACAAAGCTGGACAGAAGGAAGCCCAGGGCTGAGAGTGGAAGTCCCTGACGGCTCTCGGCCCTGGACAGCATGCTGGGCCTGGCTGGGACAGTCCACCAAGAAGGTCCCACAGAGGCAACAGCTGAGCACCACACGTGGTATTGCAAAGGCTCCCCGGGCAAAATCCAAGTCCATCTCCCCACAGAACCCACAGGCTTTTTCCTCAGACAAGAGTTGCCCTGACAGCATCCTCTCTCCACCTGCTTTGAGTGGTTTCTGCTTTTGACATAAGAGTGAATGAAACAGGCGAGTTCAGCATAAAGAAACCAATGCCTATGTACTTACCTCCCTGCCTAATAAATAAAATGTTTTCAAACATGAGTGATAGATTTAGTGGGTCACACTGGTTTTAAAGGATAGAACAGAAAACACCTGAGTGCATCTAATGTAAGCCGTTGATCCTGCTGTGTGAATCTCATTTGTTAGCATGTAGTTACACATGCATCTGGATGTACACACGGCCACATCCTGTATCTCCTCTCTTGGGGCCTTCCAGGGACCAGTGTGTGCCTCCCGCAGTGGCCCACCTCCCGCCAATCATCATGGATTTCGTGTTAGCTCCTGTCTTGGTTTTCCTTCTAGTTTTACCGAAGAGGTACCTTTAAACAATGTGCTGGGTAGCTGGGCTTTCTGAACTCCATATAAGAGCAAACACACTGTATACCTTCCTTAGCAGCTGGCTTGGTTGGCTCTGCATTACCTGGGAGACTCCTGTGTGCTGTGCAACGTGGTCCACTCCATGGGGGCAAGTCACAGTCGACTGGTCTGTAGGGGGCGCTGGTGCAAGTTCAGTTTTGTTGTGCCACTTGGTCTGGCTGTACCTCCGGGTGCTCACTCTTGCGTGACAGCTGCAGGCCAGGGGGCCTTCCCTTCAGAGGACTGCCAGGTCGGGTTCCACAGGGCAGGGGCCGCCAGATCTGCTCTGTTGCTCACTACTGCTGGGCACTCTCTCACTTTCCCATGTGCACCAGGCCGGTGGGGGTATGACGTAATCTGACCCTGTTTTGATTTGCATCTCCTTGTTCCCTAATAAACATGTATGTGTATCTTGTCATGTTTGCAGGGCCTCCGTGATAGCTCTCCTATAAAGTGCCTGTTCTAGTCTTTCTCCACCTTTCTTTGGGGTTACCCTTTTCTTATTGATTAGAGAGTTCTTTCCAGGTTCTGAATACTGATTCTTTTACTTGTGTCACAAAGACAAAAAACTGTCTCCCAATCTGTGGCCTTTCTTTGCACTCTCCTTCAGGTTATTAAGTAGAACATATCACTGTTTTCCTTTGTAATTTGTGCTTTTCATGACATTTAGGAAATCCTTCCCTATATCCAGGCCTAAGCTCTTCTACGGTGACATCTAAAAGATTTAGTTTGCCTTTCACGTTTGTTTAATTTATTAGATCCATTAGTAAAAGATTTTTGTATATGATATAAAACTAGGAATTGATCTCAGGTCTTCTACATAAATGCTGGAGTGCCCCAGCACCACCCTGTCCCCACCCGCTAGCAGATGCCAGGGCTTCATGGACTCAGCACCCAGCTCTCTGTTCTGTGTCACTGACCCATTTCCGTTTCCTCTGTGGATTATCTTCTCAGATGTCACTGTGATGATAAATTCCAATCTTCATCTTATTCTTCAAGTGTCTTGGCTATTCCAGGCCCTTTGCTCTTGCATATTCACTTTAAAATCATCTTGTTAAAACATCAACTAAGACCTTGTTGGGATTTTGACCAGAACAGCACTGAATCAGATCAATTTGAGGAAAACTGTTATCACTATAATGTGAGTCTTACAAATCGAAATCGCAGGACAGCTCTCCATTTCCTTAAATTGCCTTTAATATCTTTCAATGAAAAATAACCTTTATTATTTTAGCCTTTCTTTCCATAAGGGATTTATGCAACTCTTATAAAATGTATTCCCAGGGACTGGTGCATTTAAAAATTTTCATTTTCTATTTATTGTATGCAGAAAAACAATTTAATTTTGTATAATTATTTTTGTATCCAGCAGTCTTACTAAATTCTTTTAAGAATTAAAATACATCCTAACAATTTATTCTTATAATAATTCTAACAACTCTTAATCCTAATAAACTCATTTGGAGAAGCCATTTTATGTTCTGTGTACATGACCATATCACTTGCAAACAATGGCTTAGCTTTTTGGTCCCTACACATTTCCTCTGCTTTTCCTGTTTTGCTGCCCATCTGGGGCCACCAGTCCACATAAGCAGGACTGTGGATAGTCTGTGTCCTTGTCCTGCTCTTACAGGACCGATTTTCAGTGTTTTACAGTAAATGGCACCATTTACAATTATAGACTTTTTCCTTTTAGAAGCCCTTGATCAGGTCACGAAAGTTCCCCATTATTCAAGTTTGCTAACTTTTGCAACAAAAGGCTGATTATCATCCTGTTTCTGCCTCTATCAAAATGCTGACATGATTTTTCTCTTTTGGTCTGTAATATGATCCATTAATACATGTTCTTCTCATGACTTGGTCCTTGCAAACAAAACATTTTTCATACTGTACTATATAATTTTTATTTTTCTCATTTTGGTTTTGTGATTGTTTCTTTGCTATGGGTTTTGCGCCTACATTCATAGAGACTGGCCTGACCTGTCTGTTCTCACTGTCCCATCAGGCCTGGTTTTGGTGCTGAGGTTACACTAGCCTCATAAAATGAGCAGAAATACTCCCTATTGTCCTACCCTCTGAAGGAGTTTGTATAAAGGTGGAATTGTTTCTTGAATGGTGTTAGAATTTGCCAGGAAAGCCATCTGGGTGGACTGGGGAAAGGGCTTTTTAGGTTTTAGTGGTATTAAGAAATTGGCTCGATTTCTTTGATCATAGGGCAATTTTACTTACGGGTTTCCTATTGTTCTTCAGTCAGTTAGCTAAGATTCCTTTTTGAATTTATTCATTTTATCTAACTTTTCAGACTTGTCAGCATAGAGCTGATGTAACAGCCCCTTATACTCTGTGAAATCTTGGCAGCCTCAGCAGTCATACTGTCTGATGCCTCATACTGTTTTGCCTTTTCTCATTTTTTAAAATTAATCTTGTCAGAGACTTGTTTACTACTCTTCAGGGGTATTTATACATTTGTGTTCTAATGCATTAATTTGTTCTGATCCTTATCAGTTCATTCTTTCCAATTTGGGTGTAATGCTATTCTAACCTCTAATGTTACCTGATTCATTTTGCACCTTTCTTCTTTACTAATGTAAACATTTAAAGCTATCAATCTCCCTCTTACTAGGCTTCAGTTGCCTTACAGATTGTTTTGAAAATACTTACATTATCATGTGGTTCTAAATATTTCTGATTTTCAGTATACTTTCTTCTTTGGCTCAAGAATTTGGAAGTGTTTTTTAAAATGTCAAGTATCTGGAGTTTCTCTAGTTACCTTTTTATTACTGACTTTTAACTTGAGTATATTGTGGTCAGAAAATATTTTCTATGTGATCCCAACTCTCTGAAATGTGTTGATCAATTTTTCTAAGTATTCTGACATGACTGAGAAGAATTTGTATTGTCCAATTGCTGGGAATGACACACCATTTCACAAGCTTATGAATCGTGCTGCTCAAATTTTGTTATATTCTTATTACTTTTTGTGAAAGAAGAAATATATTTTGGTCTCTGCCCCAAGCTCCTGGCACAAAGCCCCTAAGACCCTTGTAATTTCCAAAGCGATAAGAGCACTAGGAGCACCTTTTGTTCTATTATTTGTCTTTGACCCCGTCCCTGGCACAGGGCTCCTAAAACCCTTAGAAATTCCAACGCGCTAAGAACACCAGGACTATCTTTAGTTCTAATGTAGTGTCTCTGGGTGGCTACTGGATGGGGGCTGGTCACCAGAAAGACCAAGCCATGATCAGAAGCTTGGAATTTTCTGTGACCTGGAAATGTCATTAATTCACCTTCATCCTTGAAGACTACCTTCACTGAATATAGAATTCTGGAGGGTAACAAGATTTTTGTTGTTTCAAAACTTAAAATATATTTCATTGTCATTCTTGGAACAAAGATGATTTCACTAGGGAGGCAATTCTAGGTTGACAGTGTTTTCCTTTCAGTGCATCATTCCACTGTCCCCTGGGGTCTGCCATCATTACTGGGAAGTCAGCTGTCAATTCGCTGCTCCTTTGTCATGGATTGCCTGTCCCCTGTGGGTTTAGAGATGTCTTTCTTTGATGTTCTGCAGGTTTCTGCCAATGTGTCTAGGTGGGGATTTCTTTTAGCGCCTGCTTATGATTCACTAGCTTCCTGCATCTGAGAGGTAGCACCTTGCAACAATTCTTGAAAATCCTGAGTCATAATCTTTTCAAACATTAAGTCTTCTGGAACTCCAAACAGATGTATTAGAAGGTCTCATTCCGCCTCAGTGTTTCCCCAGCCACACTGGCCTCCCCAGTGCTCCCCAAACACATCAAAGGGCATGTCCTCCACCTGCTGCCTCTCCGTCTCCAAGTCCCTCCCTCTTTTCCCTTCCCCTAGTGCCTTCCCCAACTCCTCCGACTCCTCCGGAATCCTTCACTCAGCTTTCTCCTACTGCAACTAACATACAGCTCCGTAACTACTACTCTTCCCGCCTGAGAACTCACTCAGAGTGAGAGCTCTCTCTTCTCTGCCCTGGGAACGAGCTGTGCCTGCGGCAGCCCAGCTGGGCCCTAAGGCTCAGAGAGGGCAGAGGAGGGGTGGCGACTGCCAGTCCTAGAGAAGACCAGGGATGCTCCCTGAGCCCCCAACTCTGTGCCCCTCCGAAGAGCCCCAGCAGCAGCGAGCGGGGATGGGGGTGTGGGCAGGAGGCTCCTGGGCTTTCAGA